CTATCTGCAGTATGCATTGACTTCCACGTCTATTGATATTTCACATGGATGTTTTTCCTCTTTTTCTTCTGCCATGCACCTACAGCAGTTACTCATTAAATGTTGGGAGCAAAACAGGACTCAGGCACCCAGATGAAAGAGAGTTCTCGAGCTACACAGGAAAAGAGCCCAAACCATTCTACTGTTAGGAATTCTGTCCTTGGGACAAGACTACGTCCTTGAGTTCATTCCAGGATGTAGAAAAATGTTCGGCTCTCTGCTGTCTAAGAGACAGTTGCCTTGGAAAATTAAAAAAAAAGAACAAGACGTTACAGACTAATTGAAGGCTCCTCTTCAATCAAAAGAAATTATAGTACTTAAGTTGAAGCCTTCTTAAGGGTACTATGGTTACAGAAACATAAAAAAGCACTGAGAATGGAAAAAGCTATTTAGCAATTGAATCATACTGTAAAAGATAAATATAATGGGGTGGACAAAAAAAGACAGGACAACCTGCCAAATATATTAACCACACCTTAACAAATTGTCATTAAACAATTAAAACTCCTTTTAAAAGTCTGATATGCCTTGAACAATCCTTACCACCAATCGACAGGCGAGTCTGTCGTTTCACAGGCAAGAAATGCTGCACTGAAGTCTAGGTGGTGATTAGAGGGTTTTCTCAGGGTGTGTGAGGTCAGGCTGGTTGGTTCCATGGCGTCAGGAAACAACTCCCATAATCCCTTGTACTGGTGATCTCTTCGTGCTCAGCTGTGTTATTCTGCCATGGAGAGCTGCAGGAGTGCTGAAGGGCTGGGGCGAATGCCCAGACTATGTCTCTGGCTCTATAATTTCAAACTGGGAGATGCTTAAAGCAGAGAGGGTGCGAAGGGGGACAATCCTAGGCCCGCGGGAATTTTGTTGCACTTTCCCCAGCTTGATTTTGCTCAGTAGAGAATGGGTTTCCAGAAACACTCCTTCTTCTCTTCAGACCTGTCTGCCACTTCACTTTAAAATCACACCTGATGTCTCCTACAGTGGGTCTCCACCCTGGTCCTGGTCTTGGTTGAGCTCTAAATCTCCAGTGCTAATTGATGACTTAATGGAGCTGCTTGCTTGTTCAGACTTTTATTTACCTTGGCTATTCCCGAGTATGGAAAAAATACCTCGCTTGCTTGCCTTTATTTGTCAACAGCCCTTACCAGCTGATCAATTAATGATAAACAGACACAAGTGGGAATGACAGTGCATCAGACACACCCCACGATAAGTGTTTTTCCTTCTGCAGAGGTTATTTTCCAGGCAACGCACCTACAGTAAATGAGGACAGTTCTGGAACTCAGAAATTGGTACAGGGGTGATACTAATTACAAATCCCCTTTGACCCCTTTGCAAATTCACAGATAGGTCCCACATTGTAAACCGAAATCAACTGATCTCTGATTAAGAACTTGGTAAAGATAAAAAGACAACCTTCTTCCAGGACAAGGGCTGGGAATCACTGATCGAATATACACCTACTTTATCTTGCTAGCTTCCTTCGTTCAGTACAGCCATTCTTTCAGTGAGGCATTTAAAGCAGGCTAGCAGTCAACTTAACAGCACCTCCATCAAACGAGACACTAAAAGACATTTGTAACATCCGTATAATTCAAAACACAGATATATCCTAACTATACAAGCTTTCCCTTGCACAGCACGACAATATACTCACTGTATCCTTCCTATTCTCCACCTTAAAACTCTCCAATTATCACAAAGGTATTGCAATTAATCACAGTAGCCCTCTTTGTTCAGCTCCCACAGTGCACGATTTATGTATCCACAGGCACCCAATGACAGAATATGATTTTCCAGGACAGATCTTGTTTAATTCTTAGAACCTGACAGCAACAGGACATGGCGCATGTACAGTAATATTGTATATCAGTCATTGACAGCGAAACAAATGTATCGATCGGGTGTTGTAAAAGAGCTTTGAAACAAAGTACCAGTGGGAGCTGGGGATTCTTTTCTCTTTCACCAGCATAGCGGCCCATGATGGACTGCACCAGAGCACACCGGCAGAGGGAATGACTTTTTAAAAAATGGGTGTGCAGAGGAGAAAGAACAGATGTCCCTTTAGCAACGCTTGTTCATTTTTCCCTCCAAGCTGTTTAATGAATGGTCTGCTGAAGGTGCTGAACAAAATGCTTCCGTGTGCATCTGGGCTCACTAGGTTATAAATACAGGTTGGGCATCGGGCAAAAGACGGCTGTGAGGGTCTGACTCTGTCTGATCCCTTACCTCGGCTTCTCAGTTAACACACATGCTCTTCAGTGACTGACTGTCAGGAGTTCAGGACCAAACTGCCAATACTAACACAGTGTTACTGAGATCAAGTGCTCCGAATTCAGCTAGGCCGTCTGCCGAGCTTGAAAAGAGCAGCTCGGATCAGTGCTCCACACACTTTTTGGATGTTCTCCGTTCACCTTCGCCCAAAACAGTTGGGAAAAATCCCTACAACTCCGGTGCAACCAGGGAGAGGGTGGAGACATTGTACACAAGAACCATGATGCTACATAGTTGGCATTCTCAATTTTTAATGAAAGCAACCATCACCTCCTTTATAGTGAGAATGACACACCGCTCCTGATAAATGTTGAAAGAGTGAAAAACTCTTGTTTAAATACACCGCAGGGGGTTCCTTTAGTGCACAATTTTCTTCTTTGCTTCCTCTTTTTACCTCCCCCAAGTACAGTTTACATGAAAGATAATAAAAATGGAAATGCCTCTCTCTAGAAAATAATAGCAGAACATCCACTGGGCGAACCGTGCATTCAAATTTGTAGAATTCATTCATTTCAAAGTGGAGGGAGAATTGTTTTTCACTCACGGCTTTGTGTGTCAGTCTCAATATGCTTGTGCAATAACAGCAGATCTGCAGCCTTACTTTAGATATAAATTGTAAAGTCAGTGTTTGCTTATCAAACACTGTCACGCCAGGTTAGCTTTGTAAGGTGCAATGCTTCTTTTCAAAGAGCATCAAATAATCACAGTAATGATACTACTGAATCATTCATGAAGCACCAATAATCCCTATCTTGGGGATCCAGTTGTAGAGGGGAAAATCCATTTTTAAAAGTATGACACGTTCACAATACTTCTATATAACTAAAGGTATATGAGATATGTACAAATCATTCTAATCAGGAACAGGTCATTTAATAACTATTTTAGAAGACACTTCCAAGCCTGGTATTCTGAAAAATGTTACCGTTTGGGAAATGTATGGGCTAATTCTGCATGTTATTTTAATTTTTGTGTTTAAAAATGTACAATAGTCCATGTTTCTGATTCAAGGTAGCACAGCATGTTCAACTTTATATGGGGAAATAACCATGATCTCACAAACACCGGCTGGATTATTAAACAATATTGTTTTTTATCACGCAGATTTTGCCGCTGAGATTAATTATATCCCTAAATGAATGTCTACAACAAAGCAGATAAAGCAGAACACTTTCGTCAGTGAACGATTCTCGTTTGCAAAAACAAAAGATTTAGTTAGAATTAATTGTCTTGGAAGACACAATAGAAGCAATTATTAGCGGTACTTCATCTTGAAGGGAAAACGTATATATCTAATCTATTTTAAAACGGAATTTACGATTTCAGAGTTGAGCCCTCTTTGTTTTCTCTCATCCGCAGAACAGATCAATAGCCGTTTAGTATAGACGTTCTGGGCATTTGTATTTTGAATGTTGTGAAAATGTATCAGATGTCAATATTGCTGTTTTGGAATCTGCAGAATAGATCTGTCAGCGAGATTCTCCACGAAACGATTCGCGCAGCACTAAAGATCTCGCTTGAATTTATGATCCACATTTCTCATTCATATCATCTAAGACAAAGATAAGATCATGGGTTTGCTAGAAATAATTTTAAACTGTCAAGATTGTTTTCAGTTAAGCCCTAGCTGAATTCAGACTTCACTCTGACTACAAATAGTTTTTTTTTTAAAAAAAAAAAGATCTAACCCCACCCCAGCTGTAACATCCTTATAAAATATTCAGGACAGGTCTGGATTACCAAATCTTTGTTTACCACGTAAGATAAACAGCTGTAATACTAGATACCAGTCTCGTCAATAAGAAAGCAATTCTGTCTTCAAATTACGCTTACGCGCCCGTATAAATTAAAACGTTTTCATGAATGGAAGAAGGTCGATCGATCACCTGTAATTCTGCGTGCGGAACCTCTTTTTAGCAAAGTGGATGAAGTCACCAGAACGATGAATGGAAACAGCATCATACCTGCATGCATTTATTTGCCAGATGTATTTGAGAGAACATATTTGGCATTTTTAACTTGATGTAAGCTTTGGTCCTGAGTGACAAAGTTCAAGTTCCTGGGGGTACTACACACGTCAAAGGTTACAGGACAAAGCTATAACACCTACACACACGCTGTTTAGATCAGCCGAGCAAAGTATAACGATAAAAGTCGTGAATGGGCGTTTAATGCTCAATAATACTGTTCAGCCTATATTATAAAGTAAACTTTCTAAATATACTCCTTTAATATTTGTATTATCTGCCCCCTGAGAAAATGCGTTCAAATATAGCCATAAGCATCAGAACCGTAAAGAAGCTATATAATACAACTCTAAATGTATCTGACAATAAAAGGTGTCTTTCACCGTTTGCTTCTCAATAGAGGACTGCTGGATCAAAAGACAAATCGGAACCAAATCTTCCTTAGAAACAGATACAGCAATAACGATCAGATGAAGTGTGTAAACCCCGTTAATTATCTTTGGTAGGCTGCAAAAATGACAAAGTGCGGAGGAAACGGAAAAGGTGATAAACGATTCACTGGCAATCGTTTTCTGCACACACAATTAGATGAATTCAAGGAGAAAATCACCACATCAAAGGCAGGTACTGTAGCTACTAATAGACCTCCAATACGTGCGCAAACGCATAGGAACGACACATCCTGCTATGTGGTTCCGAGTCCCCACCAAACTGGCAGCCTACCTGGGAGACGGGCAGTCGTCACAGGCGCGGCTTGATGCAGGCGACCCTGACAAGTTCCGTCGCTCCCCAGCCCAGCGGATGCGTCTGTGACCTTCAGGTGCAGTACGGCTGCCGGGGGAAAATGAAATGCAAGTTGTTCAATAATCCCATGAAGGCTAGGGTGCTGTGAGCATGTACGACTGTCTGTATTTGCAGAAGGCAGAGGCAGATCCTTGCCTGTAAGCCGACGGCAGGCTCCAGCCCAGCTTGATGGCTCGGAGCTGTATTCAGTGTAGCTTCTCGGAGCCAAGCTATAATTTAGCGAGACAAGTTTCAGCACAGTCCCATTCTACCGCACATCACAGTATGTGTGCGCACATGGGTTTTGCTCATTCTCCTCGAGTCCAGTCCAAAATCATTCGTACAACACGTTTAGATTGTGTTCTTGGTTTCGGGTAACTGTCCTTGGCTTTCGTCTTAAGAACCTAGGAAATAAGGAATTTTCTTCAAGAAAAATATCTGCTAAGAGCACCTAATTAAAGATATACGAGTATTCTCCACAACACGTTTCATAATCTTACAGCGTCATATTTACGAAAGAAAAGAAAACTCCTTGCACAGCAATAGTCCTTTATCCAATTTTAAACATGTTTATATATGACGTGAAACATTATGTGCCGTTACTTCATTCATAGTAACCCATATAATGCCAGGATATGTTTTATATTTTCATGATTGTTTCAATAATAATACAAGTCAAAATAAATGAAAGAGGTTCCTATCTTGAAGTGATCCTTACCTTACAATTATTATTCCCTTAAATCTACACGACATCAAACGAAGGGAGAAGGGGAGGGAGGTGTACCGTTTAATGCCACGGACTCACGGTTATTCTGATTACCTCGTAATCGAATGATTACGGTACTTGGAAGGCCAGTGATTGAACTCCTCCCTCGGAGTGTAATTATCTCCGGCAGGAAGGTTTGTGATAAAGACCTGCAGATATTCGCATAATCCCTTTAAACGCACCCTGTGAGGCTCCTGCTTCTTAAAAGACTGCTAACAGGCTAGTTGGTTCGTGTCAAATGGGCACAGTCCCAAAAGTGAAACATACAAAAGCCGAAAACCGGCTACTGGTTTTGCTGATAAGAAAGATTTTGGGACCATTTCATCTCTAAAATAGATTATAGGGAAGTAATGCACGCAATAAAGACATACGCAAGTTTACAACGCCGTGTATGATTAAAAACATAAATATATTTACTTTTTGAAGGCTGTCAGTCACCTGTCTGGAAAAAACACGAATTATAGGATGAATGATGAGGAGGAGGGATGCAGTTCAAATAGCACACTATTATGATGGATATTACTGTGTGCTGTCGGAGTTAACCTGTGAGAAAGCACAGTGACACCAGAGGTGGAGCTGATATGGTTAATTAGAAAATCACCTCTGCAACCTGGACCTACAGTTAAAATGGAAAGTAATTGTTTCTGGGTGGACCCAAGAGTTCACTGTAATCTTCTGAGAACCACGTGTTTGCCAAATTATTATTTAAAAAAAAATTCATATCTATATATGTGGACTTGCAAATTGAATCTGCATGCCTCAAGACCTCAGTTTCCCCCAATATAAAGGAGCATTAAAATGTTTTCTAGGCCGTCTCCGAGTCAGAAACGCAACTTCTGTGCTGTCGCGATATTCCAACGATCCTTGTTTAAAGGCCTTCAATCGCACACATTCAGTGTGTAGCGCCCATACAGACAATGCAAAAAGTAGGTTTTCTGTCACTGAAGCCAAACGCATGGAAATGCACTGCGTGCAGTCAGACATCACTACTGAAAAACAAAGCGTCTGCATTTTGCTTTACGCCGTATACAGAGCCATCAGGCAGACGGTATGAATGGAATGCTTTCTTAAAAAAACTAGACAACTTTCCAGAGACAACAAAAACATGCAACCATGGCAGAAGGCTTTATTAAAATACCCCAGGAATAGTACAGAAAGGACTTTCGTCTCGTATATCCCAGCCACTTAATTTTATTTCATGCTTCTGTTGACAATCAGTCCAACCACATTTATATTCTCCAAAACAAGCCCTCGGTCCTTTCCTTCACTCGAGAGAAGCAGAGCGGCGATGCCAGCCTCTCAGAATGCAAAAGGAAAAGCGGCTCCGTTTAAATGACAATGCGTGCACCCTCTCCCAAGAGCAGCCCTCTGGAGAGTCGGGACAGACCGCCGGAACACAGAGACGAGCCCTGCTCCAGTTCTGGCCTCCCGCTGGGGGCTGTCGCGGCTGAGAGAGGCGCGCCAGTTCCCCGAGGGGCGCTCGGCTGGAGCTCCGTGCGGATGGAGTTTTCGTGACACGGCAGAATTTTCAGCTAGCGTTCCCTCCCGGGAAGCCGAGCTCGGAGCCCCAGCCCGAGACGAAACGCGGCCTGTTTACGACGGAGTGAATTATAATGAGCGCACAATGTTCCAAGAGAGATGTTGCTGTAACAGCCTTCATAAAATCCTGGCCACACCAAACTTATGAATCACTGAAGGATACTAAAATCTGCAACAACAACAACAACAACAAAAAACAATCTACACTAAATCTAAACCATTCTATCTAAATAGAATTAACTGTGATAAAGAATGATATATAAAAAGAGGTTGCATCTTATTTTATTCATTTTTCATGGATACTATTCCTAAAATTGGTATGGCTGCAATATTTCAAAGTAGTTATTTCTGTCTTCCATAGTTTACATGTTAAAAGATCGGATACTCCCGGCAGTTGAGAGAAGTGAATGTGGTGGTTAAAACATCACTTGTCATTGTAGGGGAGGAGGGGGGCTTGTGTGATTGTGATGGACTGAATTCAGTTTGGAATTGGATATGAGTCATCGTATTGTTTCATCCATCCACTGAATATTTTTTGGAAAGTTTGTATGTCAAATATCCTCCCAAGTCATTAAGTCTAGAAATAGACAGGAATCCATCTCTAGTGCAGGCCTAGCCATATCTTTTATTAGTTCAATTAACTTTTGGATTTCCATTAATTTTACATTTCAGACAATATCTAGATTAGGGTTAGAGTTCATGTTCCTTTTTAGACTGCGGTCGACGTTTCGATTGCTGTGTTGTAATGCAATCAAGCCCCCAGAGATGCAGGTACAGAACAAGCTGATTTTCAGCCTCCAGAAACGGGACAGTGTGAGTCCACAGCCCAGCACCACACAGCCTGTTAAACACTGCCCTGCCCAATGGAAACAGAAAAGGGACAGATCGCCAAGTTCCAAACGGGCAGAATCTTCACGTGATTTCAATTCCAAAACAGAATCTTGAGGCAGCAGGGCCTCAGGACAGAGGAATCTGCACTGTAGCATTCTGGAGCCAGCCAGCAGATAGGCTCTTGTGATAATGGTGACAGATGAGGCTGGTGTGGAACTGGAAACAGACACCAAGATATCTGAGCAGCAGGGCAGCAGGGCAGCAGTGCACAGTACGCTAACAGCACTTACACTGAGCTGCCACATGACATTCTTGAGTTTTTGTGACCCCATGTGCCCCCAGAAAGCATTTTAATGAAGCCTTTTAAGATTCCAATAGTACTTACACTCCTAAATGGAGCCACTCTTGTTATAGGTTGATAGACTGGGATACATCTGAGTCGAAAGCCTGATAAAAGCTTTGACTTCAGCAGGACTTGATACTGAAAAATGTCAGCCAGCCTTTTCTTTTTTAACAGATATGAAACCAAACATCTTTAAAATAGACAAGGCTATATTATTCAATCTGCATTAAAGCAAGCCTATACATCAGCCATGTTCCAACATTGCCCTTTTTAATGTTTACAACTTCTATAATTTGGCTATTGCAAATATTCCAAGCAAATTACATGTGCACTCATGTAAACATCTAGACATCTAGGTACTTTATTGGAACAATCCTGACAAAGTACCTAATTTGTAACAGCAATGTCACAACTGGGACTTGAACCCACAACTTTCTAGTTTTAAGCCCAGAAACCCTAACCACTGCTCCCACAATGAAAGCTATAAACCTAACTGAGTGCATCAGATGAGCATTTCAGAAAAGTATCTTAGGCAGCACTTTGATTACATGGAGCCGAATTATTCAGAGACGGAATTTCTTTAATAGGTAGAGTATGAGTCATGCATTTGAACGTTTTTTCTACAATTTGGAATCACCAGTTATTACCCACTTAAATCCCCACCCGGTGTGGCATTTCTAATTGTTAATCAGTGCCCATGCAGCGCTCCTCTAACACTCGCCTGTCAGGCCAGTTCATCATGTGACGTGATACACTACAGGCTCCACGCTGTCTGGTGGCAGAGATGGCACCAGCTGGAGGACGGTCCCCTCTTTCTGCGAGCTTACAGGTGCCTCTCAGGTGCCAGACACCATTACTGCACACAAGAAACCTCTTCCAGGTCACACCCTCTCTTGATGATGCCCATCACAGCACGCCAAGGACTTGCTCAGAGCTTGAACCAGCAACAGCTGGACGATAGATGATAGGGATCGGCTAGCATTCCGAGTGACGATTGCATTTCTAAACGGGATTCGTGGGTGGTATTACTCACTAATACACCTCAATGTAATCTGATGACTTTCCTGTTGGAGATGAGCTATTTCGACCTGGGCCAGATGCATAAACAGAATGATTGTCTACTGAGTGCGTCCTAATTTCATCAAATCAAGCTACCAAGTGTTTGAAACGAATGGGTTAATTTCAGGGTTATCCTCCGTTTCCCAGAGTTCTTCTTGTCAACTTTATTGGAAATGAAAATCACTTCTCGTTCAAGCTATTTGCCATGTGAGTTTATATTTTTCTAAATCATTTTTCCCCAGCTGGAGGCTAATTGAATGGGACCCAAGAGACATGTATCTCCTCCCGGTAAGTACACTGTGTGCTTCAGGAGGGTGAATCAAATCAAGTACTCCCTATGACTTTCAGAGGCCTTCCACTGCTCCCTCTGCTAATCACAGTGTGCTTCCATCTAATTGGCATGCTTGCATGTTTATTTTATTTATTTTACTTTATTCCAGGCTAATCCTGATTCTAAAAAGGCAAATAAGTGGGTGGGAGTTTGCCGGAGTGTAATAGTTTTTCGCCGAATTCTTAATGTTTCCATCTAGGAGAGAAATTGCAATTTGAGATGCTAAACGCTAGATTAATATAAGACCTGCAACTTTCCCTTTGCGTTATTTTTGAAGGGCTGAATTGCAAATGACACTGGATTCAGGGTATCGGTGCCTGAAACAGGCAAACAAATCCATATGGAATCACAAGCTTTTGGCAGTCAAAAAGCAGTCCTCAGCTTGGTCAAACACGCACGAGCAACTTTTTTAACGTGCTTTTCTTTGTTTTCCTTAATAATTGATTAATCCAAGCAGTCTAGACGGTGCAATACTTAATGCTCCTCCTCAGCGAAATCTCCCCACACACCCCCCCCCCAGGGCTGTTTGATTACAGTGAAGATTTCCGAGGAAAGTATAATTAAACGCTTTTCTGCAAAAAGAATTCCCGTAGGAATTCATGCTGCTGCTCTTGTCAGTGTTTCAGCTGTGGGATTTATTTAGCAAGTTAAATGTCTCCATGCAAATCTCAATAATGTACCTTATCACAAATGCTGTACAGGCCTCTGCCCTGATAACACTGAACAGCGTCCTCCGGTTGCCTGTGTTGTGGGGATGTTAGCAGATGAGCTGAGTTGTGGCTAAAAGGCACAGGGCTGAAAGCCGAGGCCCACAGCTCAGGAGGGCATAATGCCTACCGAGACGTTAATTCCCTCCATGATCAAAGCGTCCCAGGCTAAGAAGTAATAAGAGAATCCACGTATTGACTCAGTAGGGGAGGTACGCAGGACTGTCGGCTTAGCTTTAATCTGAGCCACTCCAGCCTGTATTTCAGGGTTTTCGTGTGTGTTATGGATGTATGCTGGTGTCACTGGGGTATAAACACATTCCCCAGTGTTTTAAGATTCAGTTAGTCCCTGTTTTTTGGAATGCCTACTGAGACTGGCTTCTGGATTGCCAGAACTCATGGGAAGGCAATACCAACAACAAAAAGGGCAAGGACTGTACACACAGTGAACAGGCAAGGACTGCAAATCTTTGTGAAATAACTTTACAGACTACTGGATCATAACTAAAGCACATACTGTATTATATCAACATTTTAAATGTTACATTGTTGAGATTTCTCTAGTACCAGTATAAAAACTATAGAGCTATACAGCTGGAGAGGGTTCTAATATATGTGCATGTAGCTAATTTGTGATTATTTACACACCACAAGAGCGCACTAAAATTTCAGTAACTTAGCTGAAGTGATTACATGGACTGTGAATGATGGTGTGCATTTTGAAATAGGTTAACTTGTTTGTAAAAGAATCACGTAAAATGTTCGAATAAAAGAACAACTGCCGAATTGCAGTTCTTTTCCAAATTAGATGTGGATGACCAAAGTTCTTCTTATAGACATATGCTGCATTGAATATAAAAATACAGAAAAGTTACATCCCACATACTGTATGCAATGATAAATGATGACTACAAAAAGTGAAAAATGCACTCACGAAACACTGGTCTTTTTGCTGAATATCAAGTAAGATGCTCAGTGAAATTTTAGTATGTGACCTATACTACAGATTTATGGAAGGTTATTGTTGCATAGAAATATCAGTATCTCAGAAATAAAGGTTTTTTTATATTTTAGGTAGTTACAGATCTGATAGCACAAAGGGGAAAATCTCCCCAAGACTCACTGCTATTAAGGGAACGAACACTTGGCACATTATATTGTCTAAATAAAGATCAGTAATGTAAGTTAAAGCAAACCTGTTTTGCCCATTGGACAAAAGGAATGACCTGTTTGGTTTTGATTCCATGACTCATGACATTTGGCTCTCACTGTCTGTCACCTCAGACAAGGCTCTCGTCAAAGAAAGGCAACACTGTTTGTGTAGGATGACAGCACAAGTTTTCTTTTTCTTTCTCCTCCTTTGCTGTGAGCTCCGCGCAGCTGTAAAAACTTCTCCTGGAGGACTTCCCAATGGGAATGACTCACCCAGGTGAATAATTAATGCTCTGGAAAGGTAGAACATCTCATTCCAGTCCGTACTTTGGATGGAAATCAAAGAACCAAACAGCAAACAGTAGCCAGCAGACCACTCCAGGGCTTCACTGAGAAACACCAGCATTAGCCTAGATAAGAACATATAACTTGTAACATCAGTGAAGGGACGGGAGAGTATTTATTAGAGAAATAGAGGGTGTGTTAAGTGGCTCATTGTATTGGAAAAGTCATATATTTGTCAGACAAGCTGTTTTGAAGAAACCAATAAGGTCTTTTATAGCTCTGGAAAGTAGCTGTAAGTGATCCTCATGAGAATGTGTCTGTGTCAGGTGGGGGGTAGTGAGTACTCTTTCCAACAGGGCAATGGTATTTCGAACTACTAATAAAAACATTGTAACACTTGTAACGTATAAAGAACAGGTAATGGTATTCAAATACCATTCTTGTGTGTAGCCTAATTGTTAGCATAACAACACACTGCTTTTGATTATATATTAAATGTAGAGCAAAGCCTATAATTATGATTTTAAGAACACTAAAAAGTGTGAAAAATGCAAGACTTTTCTGCTCATTTGAAATAGAGCAGAAAGCAGCTGCTGGTAGCTTTTGGCTTCTTTGACACAGCTTTGGTAATTAGTTCAATTAAGGAATAAAGAATTCTTGGGGCAGGAGTGGGAAGCAATGATTAGGGCTCTGAACTCCTAACTGGAAGGTTGTGGGTTCAAACCTCCAGGTGAAACATTCCCATTGTACCCTTGAGCAAAGTACTTCACCCTCATTGTTTCAGTGAAAAACCCAGCTTTAGGAATATGTGCAAATGTACAGTAAGTCGCTTCAAATAAAAGTCTCAGCCACATACACATAGAAAAACAATGCCTCCCGAGAAAGAACGCAGTGATAAAGCAATAAACCTCACAAATAAACCTCAAGGACTTCCACAGTCCCTGTAAGAATGCAGGAAACTCCTAACAGCTGTGACCTATTTAGTTTCTATGTGAGGAGATCCAGCCATCATATCACCAGCTCTGACTCCCTGTCACCAGGCCAGGGAAATTTGTGAGGTGTTTAGAGTGACCTCTGACCTGGCAGTGCATTACCAAAGTGGTGTTGACAAAGTCTTTAAAGTAGGAGCAGCTCATAAGGTGCCATCTCCTGAGTCCTTACTGTTAGATAACAAGTTTCTGAGCTTCTCACTGCCAGTGCCCAGTTCCTACTTTTTGTAACACTCCAAACTCATACATATTAGGATTGGCGCTTGTAGTTCTTCAAAATTCTTTTTTATTCCCTTTTAGATTCTTTGCCTCTAGCCTTTTATTTTTTTGTTTAATGTCAATTTAAACCAGTGGCAATCAGTGATATCAGAGTGGTGTCAGATTTCAATTAAACGATTTGCCAAAAACCAAAGCAACATGCCCCCTGTTGTTTAGGCGGCAGTATTGCTAATCGATAGCGGGTCTCCTAGAATTATTTTTTTAATCTCAACGGTTGTTTTAAGGAGCTCAGCGCTGGCCTTTGAAGAGGTAAACTGAGTGGGTGGTGCTGAGTTCTGTGTTGTGCAGAAAATTCAGGCTTTTGATTAATTAGATAGCATAATTCCATCTGCAAAGATGGAGGAAGCCTAAAATCACTGTACATGTTAAATATGGTTTTTAACGGATGTTTGGGATGGAGGACAGAGATATGATTCTCCTTCACCTGTGTTTTCCTAATTCGGAATTCTCCATGCCATTGTAAATACCATAGTAAGCTCTTCTCCTCTTTGCATTCATCTCTCTGCATCCCTCCTCCACCTTCACAGCTGCACCTTGGTTCACTCCTCCCTCTGCATGAGGGTCCCAACATCCTCGTCCTACAGCCAGCTGGTCACCCTTCACCAAGCAGGCTAGAGCTTCAAAAAAGTTTCTAAATGCATTTAATTATTGTGTGTTTATTGTGTGTTGCACTACCTTATAAATTTGAAGATATATCCAGTCTGCTAACGGTAATACGTGTCAATATTTTGCCAAATAAAAAATGTTTCATGATGAAACTTCCATATTTAATAACTGTAAACAATGACTTCTGTCCGTGGTCTTGATTGTTTCCCACTCATTTATTTTGGTGTAGGGAACATGTCAAAATCCTATGCCCAGAGAAGGTCAGATAGAGTTCGCGGAAATGCTCAGTGGACACCCCAGGTAAGATAAGGATCAGCATTTACACACTACTTTCAGAATTTTTCATCTAAAGGTTGGATTTTGGGGCCCAAATCAGGTTTAAGACAAGTGGTTTCTTGATCCTATCTGAATTTTATTTCCCAAACTACGTAGGGCCTGGATAAATAGTGTGACCTTGCATTCATGGTAATAACGGAATGGATGTTAATTCTATTTGCTGCTACTTGGTTTTTTTAAAAAAAAACATACATTTTGCTACAAGCTCTTTTTTCCTGTATTTTCGTATTTAAGTTTTGTACAATATCATTACCTAGAAAGAGGACACTTAAAAAAAACGAATACATTGGGTTCTGTGTGAAATGGCTAAGCTTTTTTGAAAAACTCAGGTTTGCACATTGGTCCACAGACCAAAAGCATTCTGCTTCAGAGGGCTCTAGCTTTGACTTATGTTGCACTTCATCCGATGAAGAGACTCCGCCTGTCTTTCTCCTCCTTGAGTTTGATGCTGTTTGAAGGGTTGGCTTGGGGAAATCGGTGTGTTTTAAGTGAAACTGACACCTTTACCAAACAAAGAGTGTGCTATCTGTCACAACATCCTGGCAGGAAAGATTTAGTGTTGCTCTTTTTCTCAATGAGTTTCAATTTGACTGTCTCTACAGTACACGTCTCCTCAAACACAGTTTATTTACCTCCTGTTTCAGCGGAGAACAGGGGCAGAGATACCCTGGGGGTGAGGGGAGGAGAAGGGATGTCACTGCTTACCCATGCTAAACAGTGTTTACAAACTCAGGCCGGCCTGCCCCAGCACAGGAAACAGGGAGATGTCATGAATCGGCTGTGCAAACAAAAGAAATCCCTGTCCTGCACAAAACCAGGAGAAACGAGGCACTGAAATACAAGTCAAAGTTAAAACTCTGTCATGCAAAAGGTATACATTAGAACATAAAGTCGTAAGAAAGGTTACACATGAGAGGGTCCATTAGACCCTTCTAGCCTATTCTTGAATTAGTAGTTAATTGATGCAAGGATCTCATCCAGCTGTTTCTTGAAAAACACCAGACTATCAGCTTCACCAATATGGCTGGTGTAGCTTGTTCCACACCGCCACAACCCTTGGTACATCAGCCTCTTATATGTTTCCATCTCTCTGACTGATAGCATTGATACAGTGCTATGTCGTACACTCGCCTTCCCTAAAAACATTTCCCACTATTCCAAGTCCTTCCAAACAGAAAAACAAATGTAAACTATTTCCATTTCACATAAAATGCATTCAACACATAAATGTTCCTTTAAACCCATTGCTGGAGCACTTGCTCCGTGTTTTGTTTCACATGTTAGATGCTGCAAGCCATTTTTAAATATGTCCTATTTGGACAGCTGAGTGAAAACTGGCACTGCTCATTTAGCCTTATCAGCTTGCTTTATACAGAAGCCTTTACACTGACCTGCATGTATCGCGTGTGCAACATGCATTAGATATGAGTCATGTTATCAGAGGCAAAAGGCACATACAGATTGCAGGCTTGGTCTGAGTTACGCCATTTCAAAAGCTGATCTGCTGAAGGTACAACCACAAAAACAGCTGGATTAAAGTATTAAGGCCGTGTTTACAGTAGGATAGATGAAATGCAGTAATCTTTTAAATCAGCTTATGTTATGAAAGTGTACATGGTATAAAAGCTATGCATCAGTGAAGATAGGATAGGTTTGCTTAGTACAGTGACTCACTGTTCTATATGTGGTTAGCTATTTCATTACAGTGAGGATGAGGAATGCATATTGGAATAATAATCAGCAATAGTAGGACTGTAGTCATAATAGCAGTATTTGAATAGTAGTATCATTAGTGTTAGTATTGGTCAGCATCCTGCCTAAATAAATTTAAAAGTATTATCAACAAAATGATGATGAACAGAAGCTATGCCATGATTTTGTTTGATAGGGCTGCTTTCAGTAAGAATTTCCTCTACCCGCTCTGAATTGTTATTAATTCCGATTTCCAATTAGCAAACACAGAAACGAGGGCAGAGTAAATGTGAGCTTGCAGCTATTACGAAAAGAAAATCACAGAAGTTATTTGGACTTACTAACAGGTCCCTTTGGGCCTGCTCTGACAGAAAACAGCGCTGGGCCTTGTGAAACAGCCATTAGGGGTAAAAAGCGACAGAACACGTCAGTGCAGCTTGTTAGGACACCCCCCCCCCCCCCTCGTTAGGAGATTTCTCACCCCCCAGTTCTGTTCCTTCCACTGCTTGCCTGTGGAAACTCCCAGTGCAGCCAGCTTGTAGGGAGTGGGCAACAGCTGTTTGGAAAGAAGCTACACTTAGTGGATCGTAAATAAACATACTGTCTACATGCATATTGTGCAAAGCAAACTGCAGTTTATACCATCATCAGAGAACAGGACTTCTCTGATGTTTCCACGAATGATTTAACACTTTTCGGATCCCCCCAGTTTTCCTCATTTGCAAGGTAGTAAACACCAGCACAAAAAATCCTGGACCAGTGCCACAGAATATTGGATTTTTGGACATCGCTGATACCGTTTTGAACATGTTCTGCTGAAGCTGATCGATCCTTCTAAGTGTGGACAAGAGCACTGGGCTGTTTCATTCCTGCTTCAACAGATTGATTCCTGAATTGCCGCAACTGTGGAGCACAAACTCATTTACACCATTATCCCAGCCTGTTGTATTTAACAGAGCTTGATCAATTGATGTGCTCGGTCAATTGATTAACTGATTGATTGATTTATCGATGGGCCCTCTTGAACTGAAATGACTTTTACCTAAAGGGATCCTGGAAGAGGGACATCATAAATCGGTTTCGATGCAGATCATGTGCGCACCAGGAACTGAGTGGAGAGGAAAACACAAGGGTAACAATACACTGACATTTCAATCGAGTTGAAAGTGATTGCCTGTACGAGTCAATTATGTAAGCAGATTACGTTTAGAAATCCTTGAGATTGGCAGGGTAACATAACAGGCATGGGTGAGAATGAAGCTGTCAGGGCAGATGCTGGGACAGAGTGAGTCTTGGGTTGAAAAAGGGAGCTAGGACCACATCTGGTAAATTACAAGGAGGATGAAGAGAAATTTTAAGGATTAACCCCTTCCTCCAGGAAGAGGCAATACAAAGAGATCTATGGAATCTTCACCTCAGGGTAGTCTTCAATAAAGCAGCATTTCAATAGAAGGACAAATAGCACGCAAGTACGTTTTTTTATACATACCTTTACAAAATGTTAATGACAAGGAAAAGAAAAGATCCTCAGGAGTTTTCAGACAAAGCCTTCAGAATCTTTAAAGTCTTCTTAACAAGCAGCTTTTTCTGCAATTAAAGTTTATTCTATTTCTTTCACAGGATTTGCCCTTGTCCTTGGATTTTCAGTCATAGGTCAAAACAGAACCTTAGAAACACAACCACACAAAGAGAATACTTTGCATGTATACTTGTATATGTGTATACTTATACACACAATAGCTGGGGAACCAGCTGGTATATTAATGGCTTACAACACCAGAGCATCAAGGAAAAGCCAAGCATGTTGAGAAGCAGAGAAACAAGCTACTGTAGTTTCTGTGCTGATCTGCGACTATGTGGCCTGGTGCATCTCTCTGTCAGGGTGAGGAGAGAAGAGAAACCAATCAAAGAGCTAATATCATGACACCCCTTTGTGTAATCCAGATGCTGAAATGAGGGAACAGCGAGCTTATACAAAATATCCAAATTATTATAGATGCACAGGCAAGCCACATAAAAAAAGCTCTTGTCTCTCAATAGAAAGGCCTGGGAGCTTATTGCATTCCATCGCTCATATACTGTACTATTTTCAAATGTGTCCTGAAGTATAAACTCAACAAGATCTCCAAAGCATCACTGTGTTATTTTATACTTCTTCCTTTTTTAAGGAAAAAGAAAACACCAACATCCCAATCAGTAATTGAGATATTCCAGGAACCCTTATGCATAATGAGAAGATATATCATTCTTTAACCTGGGGAAAGACATTGTCATAAAGAACCGAAGCATTCCATCTGTAGTGTTCTACTATATGTTCTGTATAAAATGATGGAAATACGTTGCTTGCCAGGATAGGCTCCGACTCCCAGGCCACCCTGAACTGGATGAAGTGGGGAGAAGATGGAGAGCTGGATGTTAGTGAAAAGGGGAATCAAACTACCTTGGATGGTTCAATCAAATTTTGATTTGAAAATTGAATCCCAAAAATCCTCTGACACATCCCTCCCTTTCCTAAACAGAAAGACAGTAGCCAAGTTGCTTTCTGTGAATCATTTAGTGGCCAGGTTCTGTTATTCTTCTCTCAAATTGCAACCTAAGAGAACCATCTGTCATATACAAATGTGGTGTGCAGCACAGCGCGAACAGTGGCTTCCACTAAGCAAAGAACTGGGCTTGGTTTAGCACCTCCATACACTCTCTGAGCCCTCTATTCGCTGGACTGACTGGCTTTCCTATAGAGCTTAAAAGCCAATTCAACAGTCCAGTGAACACAAAGCGAGAGCTGTTCCATCTTTATACAAAGGCATAATAACAAAGAAATATCAATATCATACAAACAATTTCTTTTGTTTCCCCCCATACATGAAACTGAATGACCCCTTGACAAGCAAGAGGGTTGGAAACCAGCAAACGTAAATGAAAGGCTTGAACAAGGCTGCAGGCTGGCAGAGCTCCCAATATACAAAGAGGAATGCCGGGAGCCCTCACCCTCCAATACTGTAGAGAGGAAAAAAAGCCGGAAGACTGAGAGAAACATTGTGAAACCAGGAGCCTTGTTACTGTGTCTGACCATCCTGTAACAGAAATAAACTTCCCTCCCACACACAAACTGACTTCTATAAACACGGAGATTAAAATATGGAAAAAGCCACAGGAAATATGACAATCTCTCAGTCATTTGATACTGTTTCCAAAGAGCGCTGATCCCTCTCTCTCAGTATGAGTACAGGCTGTGTGTGTGTGTCTGTGCTGGGAGAGGGCAATGCTGGGGA